TTTTAAGACAAAAAAATCAAATAAAATAAAAAAGGGAATATATATAGTGATTAGTTAAAATTAAATCATGATAAATCATAATAAAACATAAGAAATGAATAATACAAAAAGAAAAAAATTAAAAATTAGTTCCAATAAATTACCCAACGAACCTTTCTCGGGATTCGCAGGTGACAAGAGAGCACCCATCGGATCATTTCTTGCCATTTGTTGTAAAACAGTTATGAAGAACCTTATTTGTACTTGAGTTGAATGATGTAGTAAGCTATATAGAGCGGCAGTTCGTTCTGCTTCAGATAACACTCGAAACCATTGTTCGATGGCACCAAGTTCTTCTTTAAAATTTTGATCCAAACTAGCGGTAGCCATTTCTTCAAGAGTTTGTTCATAGTGTTGAAGATCTTCAAACCATTTATCAATGGCTTCAGCTGAATTTTTTAATAATGATTGAGTACATTTATATACTTTTTACAAAAAAAATAAAATAAAATAAAATAAAATAAAGTAAAATAAAATAAAATAAAATAAAAAATAAATAAGATAAAATAAATAAAATCCATCAAAAAAAAAAGTAAAGCCTTTAAGAGGATTAGCCCGAACGAACCCAATAATCAAGAATTCTAAAGTAATAAGAATTTTATAGAATAGATTATATTTACCTTCAGGTGATTGATATGTATTATGGTTATTTGCGGAGAATATTTCGGAGGTTGGACGGGAGCTTCTATTATTTGTCGGTTGTTGACTTAGGTGAGATAAGTCTGCCGACTGGCGGTATTGTGGATTAGATCCCGGCTTTTGTTGAAGATTAAATTGCTCAGACACGGGACGTTGAGTCATGATGGTAACTCAGAATGCTTAAAGTTCAAAAAGGCCACTAGATAAAAAGACTTAACGATCGGTGATAGAGCTTTCTTGTATGAAGAAGAGAGTGGATGGAGAATAGAGGTGGGTAGGATAGGGTAAGGAAGAAAATACCTCTTTGTCACCTTTACTTATTATAGAACCGATGGCAAGTTGAAACAAGAAAACAAAAATATGGATAACATTCATTAGCAGCTAGCTGCGGTGCCAAATGCTGATCGACGAGTAAAATCTATAAATAGAGATTTGGTATAATTCTATTTTGCCGTAGTAAAGTATTACCGCCACAACGGCTTTGACCCGTTATAAGTACAAATCAAGTTATCAACAATACTTTTTTATATGGTAACATATAAATAAGTTGGATACTTTAATCCCACGAGAATCTAAAAATTAAAAATTAACGTATCTCAAATACTTTCAATTACGACAATTTCGGAAATTTATCAGTATATAAACTAATATAATTTTATCAAAGAAAAACCAATATGGATCATTAAGAGAACATTTAATCGTTTTTACGAGGCACGTACATACATTAGATAAGTATATTATAAGTATATTATAAGTATGTTATAAGTATGTTATAAGTATGTTATAAGCATGTTACGTATAAGTATGTTAGAGTACCCTGAATTGGGCGGTCATCTAGCTTGAGAATATATGATCAATATATGTACTACTTTAACCTTGTCGCAATTAATTCTTAAGCCAGTTATAAGGGTTTTGCAATAGCAGAAAAATTGCAAATAAATTGGTGATAGTATCCTACTAGTCCTAGAAAAGATCGTAACTGAGTTATATTCTTAGAAGGTAGAATTTGTTGAACAACTTTGATTTTCTAAAGATCTGAGACAATTCCTTTTGGTTAACCGGCTTTAGAATTCTAAAGCTGGGTGACAAATTCTGAATCAAGTGAATTCCAATTCGGAGTACGTACGACATATCGGAAATTACCGTTACCACTATTTTGGGTGAGTGGCGCAGAGGTCATGGGCATGCCAAAAGCATAAGTAAATTTTAGATTAAAATATCTCAACAACTATTAAACTTGATAATTTTTTTAATTTAATTCTATATAGTTACAAAATTAAAAAATTTTTATCAAGTTTAATAGTTGTTATTTTAATTTAAATTGTAACAAAAAAATTTACTAAAAATAATTTTGCTTGGTTTCTATTGACCACCCCCCCAAATATAATGTAAGTATTCCGAAAGGTTATTTTATAGTAATCATGTGGTTTAATGGCATATGCATACCGGGGTGGCATAGTTGGTGGCATCCTGGCACGAACTTAAGCCATATGGCACGCAAGATTTTTAGCCGTGCCACTCACCTTAATTATATATATATAGTATTAATGAAATCTTAACAATTTTTTAGCTAATTATTGTTTTAGATAATGTTACTAGGTATGACTGTATTACATACAATGCCAGGTTTTGAGAGAGTACAAAATGCATAAAGAGATACGTACGTATCTAGCGCTAGTCCTTTTTTAAAAAAACATTGCAATATAACGATCAATATAACGAAGTTTTATACGTATAACAAAACCTTCATGTAATGAAACAATGTTATGAAATTCATATTTAGATCTTTGTTATAAAAGAGTATAAAGAGGTTTTAAGTTAGCTTAATTCATAAATTATTATATAAAATATAATTCATAGTGAACTAAAAATAATTTATATGTAATCTATAAATCCATATTTAATGAATCTTGATCCATATACGTACGTACGTATTCAATTCAATTCAATATAGTTATTACTACGTATGCATATTAAGGAAAACTAAGATTCTTTGACGTGTTACAAATAGATTTACAGCGTACGTACGTACCAATTTTGTTTGAAAATATCAAACTTACAGGGTGTTTTGCTAAAACTGAAAGATTATGATCATTCAATCGAGGAAATCCTCATCTTTTTCATTGTTTACGATACCTATTCGAATAAAACAAAGAGATTAAAAACGAATTAGTGATAAATAAGATATCCCTGAAGGCTTTGTTTGATGGACTATTTGCATGCATTTAACTTATTGTATGCACACTAATCGTTAATTGATTGTTTGTAGTCATTTCAACCCATAATTTTTTTAGACATGAAATCGTGGTTAATGATTGACCAACGGTTCTAATATTAATAGATAAAATCATTATCGTTATTCAGAAAGAATAAAGTGATCGTCTTTTTACTCGAAAAAAAACATGATTTTTTTCCGATGTTAAACAAATTCTGAATCGTGATAAAAAAAAGTTTTTGCATGTACATAAACACTAATAGCCTTTGCTCCTAAATAGATGATTAAAAGTGTAACATACATACATACATACATACATACTTGATTAGTTATTAGTTAGGTGATAATATTAAATATATAATATAAAATAATAATTTTAATTTTAATAACAATTAAAATAATTAAGGATAATAAGCCTTCGAGCGATGCCTCCTTTTCATTATGCATACGTATATGTGTATAAAAAACCTATAACAGATAACATACTTATAGCTATACTTGCCGGCCAAACCCGGACAAATCCCAAACTCCTAAAAAATAATTGCTATTTATAAAAAATTAAATCAAACAAATAATTCTAAAATTTTACA